AGGGCGGCTGCTCCCACGGGTGCCCCGTGCAGAAGGGGAGCTCCCCTGCAGAGCAGCTGTGCGACCTGGACGGTGTTGACGAGAAGCAGGGCAGTGCCCCGGGACAGGCGGCTGACCCCGAGGAGAAGGCGGAGGAGCTGTGGTCAGACAGCGAGCACAACTTCCTGGATGACGATATCGGCGGCGTGGCCGTGGCGCCTTCTCACGGCTCCATCCTGATCGAGTGCGCGAGGCGGGAGCTCCATGCCACCACGCCTATTAAGAAACCCAACCGCAATCACCCCACGCGCATTTCTCTAGTTTTCTACCAACACAAGAACTTAAATGAGCCAAAACATGGGTTAGCGATGTGGGAAGCCAAGATGGCCGAGCGGGCAAAAGAAAAAGAAAAAGAAGCAGAAAGATTAGGAGCGGAAAATACCGATCTAAACTCCAGCAGCAGGAAAACGAAGCAAACCAGTGAAAGCAGAGAGATCTTTTACGAAGACAACGAGTTCAACCAAATTCCATCACGCCGAGCATTAACAGTAACTAAAGATAACGTAATAACAGTATCCTCCTACGCCCTCACGCGAGTCGCGGGGCCGTACAACCATTGGGCATAGGCTCTGCTGCCGGGCGCCGCCTCGGCGCAGCGTCACGCAGAGGTTCCGTAAGGTGCTGTTAGAGAACAAGTCTCATGTCGTTTACTATTTGTTCATCTCAACCATTTTAAGGCTGAGGTAAAATCAAAAAAAGGGGGGGGGATTTCTTCTTAAACTGTGACTTTAACATTTGGTGGTGCTCAAGCACATTTTAAGCAAAAAAAGAAAAAAAAAGTTGTATAGTTTTAATACATTCTAAAAAAGACTTTGTTTAGGTTATTAACCTTGATTGAATCATTCAGTTTATTACTTTTAGGAATTTATATTTTGGTGCTTTAAATCAAGTTTGTTTACTACAAAAATCATTTATAGGGATTTTAACAGGTTCACATTTTATGGTGTTAAATCAAGTTATACAGTAATAGCTCTACACAGCTCTTGGTGCTTAACCACATCCAACAGTTACAAGTAAATAAGCTGAATTATTACTTCATGGTGCCATTGCTTTAACAACTTCCAACCATTGCTATATATAGTCCAAATTGCAGATAAATCTTTTAGAAAACCAATGAATTTTCCTCTCTTTTAGATTTGTCGTAATGTATGAAATGAAATTATTGGTCATGATGGCTGGAAGTTGTTTTTAAGCTGTAAATATATATTTTAAAAGCACTTTCTATTTTTAAAATTAACTTGAAATAGTATAGTATAAGGATCATATTGTCTAAGGTTTGTGCATACTCTACAGAAGAAATCATTTTATTCTTGCTGTGTAGAGTTCCATATTGCTACGGCTGCAGTACGTATGCTCATAGCATATATGATTGTTTTTAACTTGCCCTTTTTCACTGAAGATTTTATGTTACGTGTAAACAACCATTATGAAATACACAAACTTTTATTTCTGGTAAGTGATAATACAAATATGAAATTAAGAGGCATCTTGTCAATACACGTGTTGCTGTCGGAAGTTAGGAGCATTATTTGTTTTTCTAAAGGCAGCATTTGTTAGGATTTATTTGAGCAATAAGTGCGTAAGTCTCACTCATCTGGAGCATTTTGTTACATAACAACCAAATGTTCCTGATGTCTCAGGGGTAGGATTGTTTTTGGATTAAGAAATACCCCCTAGAGTTGCCTTATTCTCTTATGAAAGAAAAATTGGAAAAAATAAAAAATAACAGTTGGAAAAGTAAGAAATGGCTAATATTTAAAGGTATTTTTTTTAGTTGAGAATAACTCTTCTGTAATGTTCACCAGCTAAGGCTTTCTAAATCCATTTTTTTACAAAGTGTTTTGTAAGAATTTTAAGTGACTTCTACAGTTCATGTAGAAAGGATTGTTGTATTCTTCATTCCAAACATTTGGCATTTCTGTTGGAGAAGTGACATATGACATGAATATTTGTGGAACCAGAGGAAAAACAGACACTCCATTACTTTCCGATACTGTAGCATCCCACTCTTCTTTCTGATTCTCCTCTTATGTATTTCTTTTTTTTTTTTTTTTTTAATACTTATTTATTTAAACAAATTACCAAATGACAGCGTTAGCTATGGATTGACCTCATCCTGCACCTTGTTTCGTGAGAGCAGTTCTGCTTAGCTGTCCCTGTCCTGCCGGCGCAGGAGGCCTCGGCTCGGGGCGCCGGCACCAAGTTGTCACGGGGCCACGCGGGATCCTCCCTCCCCGCCGGGGCGGCCCGCGGCGGGCACGAGGTTAGAGTTTTCCCGTGTGAAGAGATCCTAATAACGTACTTGAGGATATTACAATGTAGTGGTGCTGTAACAAAAGCATAGGAAATATCTAGATCCGCTTTAATTAAAACTAGACATGGTGCTTTTTTCTCAAAAAGCTGAACTGTAACCATGGTATTTACAGTTTCGGTACGAAAATTAGGTGAGTTGTATTTTTCATGCATGGTGCCAGTTAGGACCTTGGTGCTACAAATACTTAAATCTGGCCATAGATCAATGAGATTGTTGTCTGTACAAATGTATACAAGTGTAGTGTTTGCGGGAGGCAGGCGAGGTCTGCAGTAGCAGTCGTTATGTAATGACCTTGGATTCAATTCTACAGATTCCTGTTAAAATTAACACAAATGTTGATGGCAAAGGATGGTGGAATTGAACCCATTCTTTGTATCTTAGCTATTTTAAGTAAAATTTGTAAAACCGGGTATGCTGCAAATTTTAGTTCAAAGCTTAATATTAGTTCAACTAGAGGATATGAAGGGATTGTAAATAATAATAAAACAAAACCGATATTATGCCATCATTTTGTACCAGCAGTTTTATGCTTCTTGACTATGTAATATACAGTATACATCAAATCGTTATGGTATTTTGTGTGCCTTAGATTTCCATTTTAAAACTTGTATATTTTTGGTGAGCCTAAGATTAGTAAGAATTCCAGCTGTCCATACAGTCAGTAGTACTGTACATTCTCTAGCTGTCTCGTTGATGTATCTACCATCTGAACCCCCTTGTCGTACATCACGATAAATCATCGACAGGAAAGAATAGCTTATTGTTTTCACCGATAGTGCTGATAGCTTTAGCTTGTATAATGCAAACAAAGTGAAAAGTCATTTCTCATTCAGCACTCCTGTGTGAATAACATTTTTTCTACACAAAACCAGTAAGTCACAGAGCCATCTCTTGTTACCTTTCAAGATGCTCGGAGCATTGAAGTGGGTCGGTATTACTTGACTCTTCCCCTGTGAAGGCCCATCTTTAACATGCGTATGCCTGGAGCCTTCAAGATAACAGGAATGTTCCACTGAAAAACCAGCAGCTTCCTTCAAAGATCCGAGGAATGGACTAGGTGCATTTAAAGGATACCTCTTAACATAGCCCCTGGCAAGTCACCTCTCACGTGACTCCATTGCTAAGTCCAGGTCTACCTTATTTCAAAAGAAAAATGTATCTTTACAGTAGTGCTATTAACTGGTGGGTGCTAAAGCTCACATTTGCTATTCTATTGCAGAATACTTTACATGTGGAAAAAATACATCATCTGTACAACAAAATATCATTGCGGTGTTCTTTCCCTGACTGTCTTTTTCCTAGCTGCTCTTCCCATGTGTATCTAGCAGGCAGGTTGGCCGGCCACTCTATCTCCTGGTGTGGCACATAGCAGGAAGCTAGTGTTTTCTATTACTGCATTGCAGTATAGAAAATGCAACTATTTACTGTACTTACAACTGTGTGCTATTTATTGTAACATTTCAGAGTATTTATCAGTCTTGTGCACAGAATTATATTCTTTGTGTTTGAGTAAGGCTATCATTTTATAACAATACTTGTCTCTTGACAGTCGCAAACTGCTTTCTGGTGGGTGCGATGCTCTCTGGCTCACACAACCACTCCAACTCGCTCTTGCCCTGTAAGTGCTTCCCGGGCAGCCAGCCCAGAGGCTGCGTCCCGAGTGACAGGAGCTGCCAAGGGCTGGGTGAGATGGACCCGTTGGGTTTTTCTTGCTTTCTGACAGCTGGCGTTAGGTGCTTGGTGCAAAGCCGGTAGGTGGGTACAGCTGCGGGCTGACAGCAGCCTGTAGCTGTCCTGGCCCTTCTTCAGAGGACAGCAGCGAAACCTGTTCTCATCCAACGCGGGGCGCCTCCGACTTCTCAGAAGGACTGTGTCCTGTCTCTGTCTCTGGCGGGCCCAGCACTTCCACTCTGCCTTCAGCTTGAAGGAAAGCAGTAATGCTTTCCAAAGGGCTTTTGAGTCACTGGGTCCTGTGGAAATTACTGCATTCGTGCCCAATTAAGTAGTGAATTTTACTCATGCAGCTTCTCTGCTCTTACTAAGTTGTAACACACTATCTTGTATTGCAGAAAATGTTTCAGTCAAGATCCCAAAGGTTTTTAAAGATCTCTCAACTTCTTGGGACTTGGTAGCTATAACAGTTGATTTCCAATTGTCCTGTAAGGACTTTCTAAGCTAACTCTCTTACTTAGGAATAACTGCTGTTAAAAGCCCTTGTCTGAGCTATGACAGTGCCTCTCTGTATGTAAAACAGGAAATAACTCTAGCATCATAAGCAACTTTGTGTTAAGCATGGGTACATAGCAACTTCTTTAGTAATTAGGATTACTTGTAACATACAACAGGTATTTTTCTTTGTTAAAAGATCTTTTTAACATAATTGCAGTGTTATGCAAAGTTCCGTGGGTTACATTTGGGTGGTGTTTACATCGCCGCAGCCCTGTAGACTGCAATGTGCTCGTTTGTCAAGCCTTCATGCAATTTTCATGTCTAGCTGGCTGGATGCCAATACCGTTGAGCAAAGTTTGTGCCTACTCAGACCTTGGCAACCCTGCTGCAATTACCGGGGCTTGCAAGGCCTGAAGGAGAGAGGTTTGCAATGGGTGTCCTACTTTCGGTTAAATGCAGAGTTTGTGGGCAGTATTGCTGGTAGCCATGGCAAGTGTAGAAAGGTGGAATATCTTTGGTTAAGGCATGCAAGACCACTGGGGCTGTTTCAGACCCATTTCAGGCTTATATTGAAATCTTTTCTAGTTTTCCTTATTCAGTAGGTTTCTCAACAAGAATTTTATGGAAACATATGGATAAAACTGTATCTGTATGTTTTATATTTAAAATGTAAGGTTCAAACTGCCATTATTCTCTTATGAAAATTCTCCCTTTGGAATTATCTCCTTATTTTAGGTGGTCATCAGTTTTCTAATCCACAGTTTTTATATATGACTTTCTTCGATTTTTGATAGAAATCCCATAACCTCTATGCAAACAGGAGGAAATGCACAAAAAACTAAATTGCATGTCCACTCCCACCGTTTTTATATATGCCTGTCAGCAATGTATTCCTGCAGTTAAATGAACTCTCTCTCAGCTTCACAGTGGTCATGAAACTTTTTCACCAGCGAGATCTTCGTAACGTATCTTCCACAAAATTGTAGGTGCATTTTGTTCTTCACATGTGGAAGATGTCTGCCTAATGGTGACCCACAATGCTATGTATCTTCTGGTCTTAAATAATCAAACTAGAGTCCAGTCATCACGCTACAAAATATGTCTACAGATTCTTCTGTTTCCTTAAGTCCTTCCTCTGCTCTCTGCACACACAGACTGTTTGCTTCTTTTTTTCCTTTTTCTTTTTCTTTCTAAATCACCTTTTCTTTGATCTGTGTGGACAAGGCAGCAGGCACTGCTGCTGTGCCTGGTCTGCTCCTTCCCAGCGTTCATGGGGCGCAAAGCTCTGCGGGGAGCAGTTGGCTTCTGAGCCAGGCCTCTCTGTACACATTTGGGGTTGATGGGGTGGTGCTTTCTATTGACCCTTTTCTTTGGTACACCTTCTTTTAAATAGTTTTTTTTTTTTTTTTTTAAGTCCGTGGCCTCTCTGATCTCAGTGGCCCATGTCCACCATTCCGAAGATGTGCCTGCTTAGTGTTTTGTGGCTTTGATGTCCTCTGGAATCATCTGATACCGTAGTCAAACAGTTCTCATAGGCTGTTCAGGTTGTCCTTCAGTGCGTTGCTGCAGAAGTTTAATTGCATAAAGGGAAGAGATTTATACCTGAGGCTTTCTCAAGGACCACACATTAACAGTTAATATTGCATGAGGCACCAGTATATACAGATCATTTATTTCTTCTGAAGAGTGATTTAAAATGTATTTCATGTTTATTTTGTTGCCACTAAGTAAAAATCTGTGGTCATTTCAGAATTCAATTTTTAGTTTAATACTGTAATTTATCACCTTTTCTCCTAAATTTTGAAGTCTTCATTCTCCACCCAGCAACATTATCTCCCTCAAGAACGTTTAAATTTACTAGCATTGCTTAGCAGGTACTGCTGTCCAGTCTGTGGAGATGAGGGTGCTTCTGCAGCTGCCTTTCCCACTGCAGGGCATCTTTGTGGATGGTCTTCTGGAGCTGGTTACTTGGACAGTCGGCACAGGGCTATGCAACCTGCTGCTGGGTGCTATAAACCATTGTAACCACTCCAGAAGTCTTCCGTGGCCCTCAGTGCATCTGCTTTAGTACTTAGCAGCAGCAGCAATAGAGACGTCGGCCTGCTTGCCATTTCTTTTTTCCTTTTTTTTTCCTCTCAAACTGTTTCTGCTTTATATATAAATTGGCTAATCTTCATCTCAGGAATACTGTAAGAGTTTATTCTTCTTGTTATTCTTCCAAAATCTCTTTCAGTAATCTTTTATCTTTGAAACAGCAGTTTCTTGCTCCTTTTTTATGATGTTAAGTCATCTTCTCTTATAGGGAGCCTAGAATATTGCAGTTTGATAACTTTTCATCCCAAGACAGAGGGATGTTTCAGCATCTTTTGCTATCGGTGCTTTCTTGTTTCCAAGTCCAATTAAGATTTATGACGCTCTGCTCTTCTGCCTGTAAGTGAAGAGCAGGCACTTTGCAGGACTCAAACTGTCTGCTCCCAGGCATGGCTGTCCAAAGTTGAGCATTCTCGCTTCTGTTGCGAGCATCTCTTTGCCGTGCCCTCTCTTCTCTTGAATTCCTCCCAGCTCTGTCAAATCCTGACAAAGACAGATGCTGCAGACCTTGTAGAAGGGTTTCTGTGCATCTTCTGGTTATTGCCCTGTGCAGAGATCAGTCATAGTCCTTGTGAGAAGCCTGAGTATTGCTAAGCTAAATGCCTTATTGCTGAACTGCTTAGAGAAGAGTGGAATATGGATTTTTTTCTTCCTCCAGCAGCAAGTGGAACTGACTGAAAACATTTCATTATGATCTGCCTTTGATAAAAGGGTATCGCTGTTTTCCTTGTTTTGAGCTACAAAGATGTAAGGATCCTTTTTCCACTCTAGTTCTCTGTTTCATCCCAACATTGTTTGCAGTTTGTAAACACGTTAAACGTTAGCTTTAAAGGACACAAGATGCTTTTCAATGCTCTCCCCTTAATTCTTCCCACAACAGCATCTATTCTCTTTCTTTTTCTACTGGACCTTTACAGATGTCACTCTTCCACCTGCACTTACATTAAAACGCTAGAATCTTCCAGCAGCGTCACTGCAGTGAGCTCAAGATCGGGGTGCTAGACACGTTCCGTTCAAGTGACCTATTCATGCTGTTCCTGGCGCTTTGCGTGCTCAGCTCCGACCCGGGCACACAGGTGGGGGACAGGGTGGACGGGGCGGGGAAGCCACCCGGAGCTGCCAGCTGCAGGGCCGACCTGCTTGCCAAAGACGCTGCCGCCGCGGAGCAAGGCACCGGGCAGCCTGGCCGCCTCTATTGCAGTTGTTGCCACAGAACGTTTTAATTACTGTCGTGGAAAGTTTTGTGAGTTGAATGATCGATAAATATTTTACATGTATATCTGTATTTTTATTATAATATTGTAATGGAAAAAAAGGTCTAGTTTTTTTTTTTTTTTTTAATGGAATAAAGGGCCTGGCTCTCATTTATATTACTATCCTTTGCATGCCTTTACAGGGGCCTTAAATAGATATCCATCCTTTGGAACATCCTGTTACCCTGACAGTGGTATAAAAGGCCTTTAGTATAAATGAGAGCCCCTGCCAAAAGACTGATCTGTACAATCATCAGAAATGAATTTCATGATATCCCTATTTCACACATATTGGCCAGTAACATCTAAAATTTTACTAATTGAGAAATACAGGTTGAAAGGAAACTGGTCTGGTTTATTTTGTAACAGGTTCTAAGTATTTATATTGGTTGCGCTTCTTCCAACCTTGTCTACAAAGAGAATTTGGTAAAAGATCTGTACCTCAAAATAATGACAATAGCAAAATTGTGGATAATATAAATTATCTGGGCAATTTTTCTTGTAACGATTACTTGTTTTTCATTATTTGACTTCCCTTCGCTGGGTGACGTCAAATGGCGTTGCAGGAACCTCCTCAGCTGGGTTCTTTGCTGAGTCGACGCAGCAGGGTGTGCGGTGCCGTGGGTACTGCTGCAGGAGGATGGATTTGGAAACACGCAGCTAAAAGCCAACGCATCGCCTGTCCTAAATGCAGTGACACCAGACAGGGATAACGTTGGCCCTGCTCTGTGTTCTCAGGTCACGCAAACCTTCCTCACTTCAATGGGGCCTTATAGGAGTATCAAGCCCCACTATGCCCAGTTATCAAATATTTCTCTTTCAAAACAAGAGAAAGTAACATTTTTGATAAGAAACTAAATCCCATATTTTCATTTGCAACTTTATAAACCGTAGTGATACTGCAGAGCCTAATGAAAATAGGTTTTAGACAAGGTTGGTGAATGCCAGTTGTGTTAGTCCATGCAACTCAAAAGTCAGTGTCTGAACTTTGAGTCTCTGCTCCTCTGAATGAAAAATAACCGCAGGCCAGAAAAGCAAACCTGATATCCCAGGATCATTAAAAGAAAGCCAGTTCTAACTAATCTAAACTTTTAGGTGCTTCAGGCTTTAATTATAAGATCATTTGCTCAGTTTGGAAGGGGACAGCTCTTCATACTGTGACAATAATACACCAGGCCATAAATACTGTTCAGAACTTCGTATCGTTAAAAAAAAAAAAACATTAATTTGTAAGGGCACACCATACAAAAATGTTATGGCTAATGATTTTTTCCAATGCTATTAAAAATATATATGTTATATGACAAAGCAAACAACACAAAATTGACAGTGTTTTCTTTTTTTCTTCCTTTCTCTTTAATTCTTTCTTTCTCCTTCTTTCTTTGGGATGCATTTGGTTATTTATTTCTGAATTTGAGGTTTTTGACTCTTTTCAGTTACCAACCTACTGTAGATCTGAAACAAAAATAAAGCAAAATAAATTTATTTACAGGGAGAAAAAAATCGGAAAGAAAAAGCACTTCACTCTGTCACAGTATTTACAGGAGAAAGTATAAAAGTTGCTTCCTTTCTCGAGAACGCTTCGGGCCTGGTTCTCTCCTGGTGTAACTGAGCACAGCTTCACGGGGCTTGTGGGGCTGTGAGGAGTTACTCTGGCTGGGGAACCGAACCTTAAATCTTTGCAGACAAGGGAACCCTTACCAGCAGTACTTGAAGACTTGTGAGTTGTGACTGCATGTTACTTGAAAGATCTAATTAAGCTATGTTTTTTGGTGCAAGCAGTTGTTGTACATGATTTCATGTTTATGTAGCAAGATGCATTGAAATGTTGATACTAGTATTGAAACATACATGTAAAAATTGTTGTTGTGGAAACTGTCTGTTCTGTTCTATTTTTCTTGTGTGTCTCATCTGTTTAGAACGTAAACTTTCTTTTTTTTTTTTTTTAATTGTCCTAACTGAATAAGGCTAAATGAATACTGTAATTGAAAATATATTTTAAATCTTGTCATGAGTTTTTAAAAAGACTATTACAAATTGTATCATTCCTGATTACACAGAACTTTGTGGGTGGTTTTAAATAAATTTTATACTTCTATTTTGCACTCAGTCGTCTAATTTTTCTTTCCTGCATTTTTCCCTCTTGTAAAATACTTTTTGAAATCAAAGAATGCTCTTTCCCAACACAAACTGAATTCCCCCAAAACAAAGTTTCTGACAAGAGGAAAAAATTATTCTAATAAAGTATTCTCTAGAGTCTGTATACTGTGTTTATATTATTTGCCCTGTGGCCAGCCATTAAACAGGCCTTCTTGTTAAGGGAGGAATAAGACAAAGTATTAATGCAGATATTTTGAGCTTTTGAAATATTTTCTCTGTGAAAGTTAACGTTCTTACCACCGATAACCGTTAGAAATGTACTAATGAGTTAACTTAGCCCTCTAGGACTTAGAGTTGGGAGTAGACCCAAGAACCTCATCTCAAGAGAGACATTTTATAAGTAGCGACGTCTTCTAGCTCTGAGGAATGGGTGGCCAACTGCATCTTTAAACTGCCCGATCAGAGCCACGTTTCTGAGTATTCAGAATATTCTCCTATTCAATATTCTACTAAAACCTTCTCATATGTTACAGCGTGCATTACATACAGAGGTTTAAAAGCACAGCTTCACCCATAACTCGTGGGAACAAAACCAATGTGATTGGCTTGGCCATCCCTGAAAGCTCGCCAAGCAGTTACTTATCTCACATAGCTCAACACCCGGAGGCAGCCCCACTGCACGTTCATGTCTTAGAGCTCTTACATGAACTCTACAGATAATAGAATATTCATGCAGTACATTTGGTTGCTTTTACATTTTTAAGATGTTACCTCAAATGGTAATATTTGTTAAAAACTATTAATTGTTACAAGTTTAAACTGCAAGTTTACAAACTTTTTGCCAGTGCTGTATTATGCTGTTCAACAGTGCTCTAATACATGTCAGATTGAGTAAGCAGGAAGGAATCCTTAAAACTTACAATCAGGGCAGCTATCCCTGTACTCCTCAGTCAGCACAAATTGTACCTCTTTGTCTTTCCACAAACCATGTGGAACAATCCAAACATTACATACAGCTCTCCCTAGACAGGAAGCCACACGTAAGATTAATATTCACAGTATTTTTTCCTTCAACCAAAATTGGATGAGATTTTGTACCCCACTAACACCTTCTAAGACTCAGATGAGTACTTATGATTAAAGTAAAATGTCAAATTCTTATATGACAAGTTAAGAACTTACTTTTAAAGACAGTTGCATTTCCCATATGGAGGTTTCCCCCTTTCGCGAGGATGTATTTCTTTGAAACCTGGGTATTAACAGTGATTATCTAAAAGAAGTTTTGAAATAGAACCCTCTTGCAATAAATAGTTTTGATCAAAATAATATATTTTCTTGACATTTTTAAATGTGAAACAGGACTATTCAAGAGAAACATCTGCTGTGCACTTGGTTAGACAACTGCACTCAAGCACAGAGGCACTGGTTCAGCTGAAGGAAAAGCAACATTTCATGGGGTTTATCAGAGGAATAGTTGCAAACAACATAGACTGTGCAGGGACCTGCTTTCAGAACCGAAACACAACTATTTTCAGTAGTTATCTATCTCACTAAGCATTGAGTAGTCCCCACTAATAGGTCACTAAGATGGTTTTTAGGCTACAGTTCATCTCACTGTCAATATGTTCACTCTATTTTATCTCAGAATAACATTTAAATTATCAGCAGAAATATGATTTTCATTTACTTATTTTGGCAGATATCCATGATTTCACTATGTCAAATCCCTGCATGTCGTAGGACACAGTACACACTGCAGTCCAGCCATCTAGCACATAACGTCAAACCTGAATTGAGGAAGGACCAATCTCATCTCAATTACCTACACTTTTAATTTATATTTATGGAAATAAAGTCACAAGTGCACCTAATCTCACAAACACATGGTATTATATAATAAAATGTGGTAGAATTTCTGAATTTGGGGGGTGCACACGTAGCAATTTTTTAACTCAGAACAATAGTTCACATTAAAAATCTACAAATAACCCATTCAGTGAAAGCCCTTATGTAACAATTCTAGAAACCGACCTTGTTCAGAGTGGGATCTCCAGTAATTTTGTAAAACCAATAAATGCTAATGAATGTCACCATGGGATAAGATTCTCTTTTCTGAGCTTCCTGAAAACATGCCCTAAAGTTGTTTTACTGAACCACTGCCAGTCCCCTTAGACAGGGAATTTTACCAGTTACATGTATTGTATGTGATGGTGCCTGTAATCCTGGTGTGTATCATCATCAAACTAACTAAAAATAAGTGTTCTAACATAAATTAAACAAAAACAGGCTTTGTTAGAGGTCCATTCCAAACACGTTTGATTTTTTTCTGGAATTTAACAGACCATGGCATATTTATCCTGGTCTTTAAGACCTTATAGTGGCAGAGACAGGAACATTTTGCACGTCACACCTGCTAAACCAAATGAGATTTTTAACTCCATGACATCCCTCCTGTGTTCTTGAGGGCTCTGCTAAATTTTAAGCAGGACAGATACAGTGTCCTCACTTAAAGATCATTATTAGCTCTCCTTGCAGTTTCGTGTTTGGTGTGAAACACCAATTGCTGTGTCTTCTTGGTTGCACAGATTGTCAATATTAAAACATTATATTTTTTCCCCACATTTCATTCAAGCACATGGTATTAATACATTTAAACGTTTCAGTTGCATTTTTTTTCTCCACAAAATTGAACTTCTTACATGCCTCATTCAATAGTTTTCTTTCACAGCATGTCCCTAGGATATTTCAGAGGAGTTTTTTTTTTTTTTTTCCTAACACAGGAAAATATCATTGTGTCTCTGTTGCGGTTGTGTAATGACAAGTTGATAAATGTTATATTTTTTTGTGTACGAAGGACACTACAAATCAGGTCTTCAGCCATAATGCCTTCACTACAATATATAACTCTGGTTACAATCATGTGTAGCTATTTAGGAAAGAGACATACTGAAGCATTTGTGCTAGTGCAAGTACTTGGGAAACTTACATCTGAAGCATAGGGCTCTTATCTTGTCTTTACAAACATCCCAACCCACGTCTTTATTTTCAAAGAAACGATAAAGCAGGACAACCATTTTTGTCATTTCCTTTATTTGGAGAAAGAGCACTTCTACTTTGAAGTACTATGTATTTCTAAAAGCAACAACAATGACAATTTGCAACTGACTCTCAGTCATTCCTTTTAGATTTTAAAACCCCTGCAGCAAACATTTTTTTGCAGTGCATTTGGACAGCAACAAGTTCATGATACAATTACGGATACAAGACACTTTAGAGAAATTCTGAAGACAGGAAACATTTGTTGGATGATGAGTGTCATTATTTCTCTGCTCCATCCGATCTAGGGAATGTGAAGCAGTCAGCTTCACCAAGGGCAAGTGTTATTGCAAAAATGAATTTTACGTTTTTAGTTTAGTTTTGCTTTTAGGTGAAGGTAAGACACCGAACCAAACACAGAATACAGTGTAGCAAGTGTTGATATATATTACCATCAGTGCAGGTCTAAAACTCACAGTACAGTTCCATATTCCCTGAGTAATAGAGAAGTTCCTCTGTCTCAAACCAGGCTATATACCAGCTTTTTTAGCTACCCAGTATGCTCATGGGAGACCTGCAATATCCACTTCTATATGTGCATTCCACATGCAGCCAGTATGAAGAACCTGCTTCTACCTGATACTAAAGTGTTTTTGCTTCTCAGTGTATCTATTAATTTTTGCTTCTACAGGGCTGGATCAGTAAGGCTGGCTCATGTTGTGATAGAAAAAAAAAAAGATATACTTACGACCATGACCATGTTAACAGCAGTACACACAAGGTGGTGGCCTTTCTGCGAGTTCTTTTAGTCATGATCTTAAAAAAAAAAAAAAAAGGTTTTAAAACAAAAGAAAACAAAACAGTATTTCATTAATTACCAACAGGTACCCTATTCAGGAGGATATAGCTGTTCTCATTTCAGAAAAAAAAAAAAAAGATGGTAGTCAAGAATGGCTAGACCACTGCAAAATGCCACAGAACAACTTGTTTTATGCTAAGCAAATTTGCGGAAATGTCGTACCATTTAGATCTCTAACCTTTTATAACTTTTGCCCGTAAACATCCTATGTACTTTAAAATGTCCTGTATACCTAAAAGATATACAGGACTTGCAAAAAAAGGAGAAATGGGGCCATCACTCAAGCTGATGCCTTTTTTTGTTTGTTTACTCGGTTGGAGAAATGAGACTACATGTACCTCATTTACCTTAGCAGTGCACTTTGTATTACAACAGTTACTCAGCATTTACCAGTGTCAAACATGTAAATCCTGTAAGAGGTTGTTGTGAGGAAACCCAGGAGAGAATGCACCCAAGCACATATTTTTGCTGTTGTTGATGGAAAAAACAGTGGATGTTGCTGGTACATCATGAGAGAATGTGGACAAAACAGCAAAGCTCGGTTAAAGACAAAGATAATGGCCACCATATCTTCCAGGAACTGCCTGAAACTGGGCAGTGGGACCCAACAGGGCCTTCTGAGCCGGAATGAGGCCATATATGGAAGTGAGTTCCAGGATGCCATCAAGTGGGCAAGAACGGATGACCACCAGAACCCACCAAAGGTACAGAGGGCGCACGCACGCGAGGGTGGGGTATATTATAATTAGTTCTGGAAAATAGAATGAATATGTATGATCAGTCCCAGAGTTTGATGCATATGTAGATAATAGAAAAATAAAAGCTTTAGCACAGCCACCATATGCACAATAGGTAGGCCATGCATCCAGCGCGGCAATAAAGTGAATGCCTCCTTCTTAATACTACACTGGTGTTAAGAGGTTTATTCCTGGTTTTGGTGACAAGGTTACAGCTTAAGCCTAAACTGCATTATCCTTTAAAATTCCTACAGATCTACCTGCGTGTATTACTGGACACCAACCAACCTAATGAATTTCCATTTACCCTTTGATCTTTTATTTAGTGCTAGTTACCCTTCCACAACATAAAGCAGTCCACGTAAGATAAGAATTAATTTACCTTTAAAAGGAAAAAATCTATTTGATGCAGTTGCCTTTCAATACCATCTATCAGAAGTGGGTATAAACTCAATTCCCAAAGTTGTATTTTTTTTAATAACGTCGTGTGAACACTCCGAGGCCTCACTTCCACGCAGAGCGTGTCGTGCTGACCTCCCTACCCTTCAGCGCTAACAACTTACACGCGCACTTTCCCCCGGATGAGGCTCCGCTCAAAGGCACCCTAAGACTTTACAGCGCGGCAGTAGGCGGGACGGGACAGGACGGGAGATCGCTGCTCTCCGTAAATACAGCTACTGCTCTTTTGTTCTCAGGGCAGCGGGGAGCACGGCCATCCCCCGCCCGCAGCCCACCGCAACATGGCGGACGGCCCAGGCCAACATGGCGCCGAGCGCCTCCTCGGTCCAACGGTCGCTTCTCCTGAGGCGCCTGCGCGAGTGCGTGCCGAGCCGCCCCGTCCCACT